TATGTAGTGTCTCTACTTTAAAGAGTCCTCTCCTGCTGATGATCAGGTGTATATCAGTATGTAGTGTCTCTACTTTAAAGAGTCCTCTCCTGCTGATGTTCAGGTGTATATCAGTATGTAGTGTCTCTACTTTAAAGAGTCCTCTCCTGCTGATGTTCAGGTGTATATCAGTATGTAGTGTCTCTACTTTAAAGAGTCCTCTCCTGCTGATGATCAGGTGTATATCAGTATGTAGTGTCTCTACTTTAAAGAGTCCTCTCCTGCTGATGTTCAGGTGTATATCAGTATGTAGTGTCTCTACTTTAAAGAGTCCTTTCCTGTTGATGTTCAGGTGTATATCAGTATGTAGTGTCTCTACTTTAAAGAGTCCTCTCCTGCTGATGTTCAGGTGTATATCAGTATGTAGTGTCTCTACTTTAAAGAGTCCTCTCCTGCTGATGTTCAGGTGTATATCAGTATGTAGTGTCTCTACTTTAAAGAGTCCTCTCCTGCTGATGTTCAGGTGTATATCAGTATGTAGTGTCTCTACTTTAAAGAGTCCTCTCCTGCTGATGTTCAGGTGTATATCAGTATGTAGTGTCTCTACTTTAAAGAGTCCTCTCCTGCTGATGATCAGGTGTATATCAGTATGTAGTGTCTCTACTTTAAAGAGTCCTCTCCTGCTGATGTTCAGGTGTATATCAGTATGTAGTGTCTCTACTTTAAAGAGTCCTCTCCTGCTGATGATCAGGTGTATATCAGTATGTAGTGTCTCTACTTTAAAGAGTCCTCTCCTGCTGATGTTCAGGTGTATATCAGTATGTAGTGTCTCTACTTTAAAGAGTCCTCTCCTGCTGATGTTCAGGTGTATATCAGTATGTAGTGTCTCTACTTTAAAGAGTCCTCTCCTGCTGATGATCAGGTGTATATCAGTATGTAGTGTCTCTACTTTAAAGAGTCCTCTCCTGCTGATGTTCAGGTGTATATCAGTATGTAGTGTCTCTACTTTAAAGAGTCCTCTCCTGCTGATGTTCAGGTGTATATCAGTATGTAGTGTCTCTACTTTAAAGAGTCCTCTCCTGCTGATGATCAGGTGTATATCAGTATGTAGTGTCTCTACTTTAAAGAGTCCTCTCCTGCTGATGTTCAGGTGTATATCAGTATGTAGTGTCTCTACTTTAAAGAGTCCTTTCCTGTTGATGTTCAGGTGTATATCAGTATGTAGTGTCTCTACTTTAAAGAGTCCTCTCCTGCTGATGATCAGGTGTATATCAGTATGTAGTGTCTCTACTTTAAAGAGTCCTCTCCTGCTGATGTTCAGGTGTATATCAGTATGTAGTGTCTCTACTTTAAAGAGTCCTCTCCTGCTGATGATCAGGTGTATATCAGTATGTAGTGTCTCTACTTTAAAGAGTCCTCTCCTGCTGATGTTCAGGTGTATATCAGTATGTAGTGTCTCTACTTTAAAGAGTCCTCTCCTGCTGATGTTCAGGTGTATATCAGTATGTAGTGTCTCTACTTTAAAGAGTCCTCTCCTGCTGATGATCAGGTGTATATCAGTATGTAGTGTCTCTACTTTAAAGAGTCCTCTCCTGCTGATGTTCAGGTGTATATCAGTATGTAGTGTCTCTACTTTAAAGAGTCCTTTCCTGTTGATGTTCAGGTGTATATCAGTATGTAGTGTCTCTACTTTAAAGAGTCCTCTCCTGCTGATGTTCAGGTGTATATCAGTATGTAGTGTCTCTACTTTAAAGAGTCCTCTCCTGCTGATGTTCAGGTGTATATCAGTATGTAGTGTCTCTACTTTAAAGAGTCCTCTCCTGCTGATGTTCAGGTGTATATCAGTATGTAGTGTCTCTACTTTAAAGAGTCCTCTCCTGCTGATGATCAGGTGTATATCAGTATGTAGTGTCTCTACTTTAAAGAGTCCTCTCCTGCTGATGTTCAGGTGTATATCAGTATGTAGTGTCTCTACTTTAAAGAGTCCTCTCCTGCTGATGTTCAGGTGTATATCAGTATGTAGTGTCTCTACTTTAAAGAGTCCTCTCCTGCTGATGATCAGGTGTATATCAGTATGTAGTGTCTCTACTTTAAAGAGTCCTCTCCTGCTGATGTTCAGGTGTATATCAGTATGTAGTGTCTCTACTTTAAAGAGTCCTTTCCTGTTGATGTTCAGGTGTATATCAGTATGTAGTGTCTCTACTTTAAAGAGTCCTCTCCTGCTGATGTTCAGGTGTATATCAGTATGTAGTGTCTCTACTTTAAAGAGTCCTCTCCTGCTGATGTTCAGGTGTATATCAGTATGTAGTGTCTCTACTTTAAAGAGTCCTCTCCTGCTGATGTTCAGGTGTATATCAGTATGTAGTGTCTCTACTTTAAAGAGTCCTCTCCTGCTGATGATCAGGTGTATATCAGTATGTAGTGTCTCTACTTTAAAGAGTCCTCTCCAGTGTTGGGACGCAGCCCTTAGTGTCTGCATGCATATTTAACCGTGTGCAAGAGGAGATATATAAAGAGTGTGTGAGATGAATAATGAATGAGCTGCATCACAGGGGGAGCCATGTTTACTGACACCCACACACACACACACACCCACACACACACACACACACACACACACACCCACACACACACACACACACACACACACACACACACACACACACACACACACACACACACACACACACACACACACACCACACACACACCCACACACACACACACACACACACACACACACACACACCACAACACACACACACACACACACACACACACACACAGAGTGTTTTAACAGAGCTGGAAAACACATTGTCTTTTTAATCAGTCAGCGACTTTAATAATGACTTTTTAATATGTCTTTCCTCTCTGGGGTGTTGTCCTGCTTCTTGGACAGCTTGTGTTCCTGTTCATCAGCTTAACTGGGTTTTTTCAATGCACGAGAACATAAAATACTAAAACAAAGAACAAGTAAACAAAAACAGCTCTCTGTGTAGTTTCATAGCACCTTACCTTTTTTTATCTTACCTTTGACCCTAAGGAGTTTATTTCATTAGTGTGCAATAAGCCTCTCACATTTTATACTGTTTGTTCACATAAAGGATTTTCTCTGTTGTTGCTGACTGTAATAGAACAGCACATTTACGCTTAAGCACTGCTGGAAAAATCATACTTAAAGGTGGGGTATGTAATGTTTGAGAAACCAGCTCGAGATCGCTAGAATTTGAAAGTAAACAACCGGAGAAAATCTGCCACTTCCTCACAGAGCCCCTCCTCCAACACACATGAACGCACACATGACCAATGAGGGCACGAGATAAGTTTGTGCACAGATGGAAGGCTGACAGGCAGGTAGGCCATCCAGTTATTTTAGCCGGGCCGGCTCAGATGATTGGTCGTGCTTTTTACAGTACTACGGCTTCCACAGATGATGTTTTTGTATGTATTTATTGTCAAAGCATTTAATGTATTCATTGCTATCGGGATGTTAAGAGCATTCCATGGAATATAACAAAAAGTGTTTCTGAAGAGAATTACCTACCCTACCTTTAAGTACAACAGGCTGTGTGCGTCACTCTTTTGTGTCCCCTGGTCTCCCAGCTGTGTGCGTCACTCTTTAGTGTCCCCTGGTCTCCCAGCCGTGTGCGTCACTCTTTAGTGTCCCCTGGTCTCCCAGCTGTGTGCGTCACTCTTTAGTGTCCCCTGGTCTCCCAGCTGTGTGCGTCACTCTTTAGTGTCCCCTGGTCTCCAGCTGTGTGCGTCACTCTTTAGTGTCCCCTGGTCTCCCAGCTGTGTGCGTCACTCTTTAGTGTCCCCTGGTCTCCGTTGTGTTTGAGCTTCTTCAGCGCTTGGTGACGTTCAGCTTTTAGTAAACTCTGCTCATGTCTCCTCAAGGTGCTGAATGTTCTCTAAACGCTGCATGTGTTGTCAAGTTGCTGGAGATGTTTCTTCATGTGGAACCTTTGGGTTTCTAGATCTGCATCCTCTCTGAAGCTGTTTCTCCTGATGGAAGAGTCTCAGTGTGTTCACCTGTCGGCCTCCGTACAGAACAGATCTAAATGTGTGAGTTCCTCCGGGCGACAGACTGTCTGATTATTTCTGCAGGAAGACAGTTTGTGTTTAATCAGAGGTGTTGGAGTCAGAGAGGTGTTTCATTATAATTATTAATGTTATGATGAGTGACGTCGGTGCAGTGCGTCCTGATCCAGGGTCACAGTGTGTGTACACGGTGCAGAGTGTGTGTTTTAAATCAATCCTGACACACACACTGAGGTCAGCACGACTCAGCAGGTCAGAGTGCAACACAGACACTGAAGGGTTTAATACTTATTCTTTCTTTATTACTGTTTGCTGAGTTTATGAAGTCATTATTAATGTATATTATGCATGGTTTATATTAAAATATATATTTGGATTTCCATATAACTTGCTTGATCTGTTTTAAATCGAAGTGTTTGGGTTAGGGTTTATTTGTCTTTGTTATGTATGGACTTTTTGATTTTTAAATGTTAGGTTATTATTGTTTTTGTTTCAAGTATTAGTGTTATTGAAATGTTTTATATCAAAGTTAATAGTTGTATTGTATTATTATTATAGTCCCTTTCTCCAGCTCCTTCAACCTGCAGGATGTAATCTGTTCTCTCTGACTTTCATCTCATGACCGTGGTGTGTTTAAGACGCACACACCTCTTTTGATAAACATGGAGAACAAGTTAGTTTAAAATGAATCAGTGACCCGCTCTGGGATTTATTCAAATCATCTGGGACTATTTTAAATAAAAAGTGTGTATTTCATATTATTGAATATGTTTTTATGCAATAACCAGTAATATGATTTGACAACGTAGTGAGTCTGGAGCTTTGTTTACCAGCTGCTGAAACACAACAACAACAAACATCTCAAATTAAAAAAAGTGATGATTAATTTAACCTGAAATATAATAATAACCCACTAACAGATGATAATAATAATGCGTCAACATTCATAAAAACATAATAAAACACGAGAGAGAATAAAGTGAGCTTTTGAACAGGTTTCAGAGTTTATTGTACAATCAGGTGAGTCCACAGAGGAACGTTAACAATCACACAGTGAGTCTCTCCCTGCAGCGGGGGGGTCAGGGGTCAGGGGTCAGGTTAGTGTCAGTCAGTCTGCAGAGGTCTGCTCTGTAAAAACGCTTCAAAATATGTACACATAAAAAATATTACAAACTTTATTGAAACACTAGTGCTGTTAGAGGAGGGGGGGGGGGGGCTGCGGACAGTTTACAAACTGTGGTGGAAGGTGCAGATGAAATGTTATCTTAAAAAAAACAGTGTGTGTCCAGCACACACGAACATATAAAGTCACCCACACACCCACACACACAAACACACACACACACACACACACACACACACACTCCCTGAAGAGGACCCTGCTGTGTGTCGGTCCGTAACTTCAGAGACAGACGGAGAATCAAAGAGAGGAGCGGCACATCTCATCTTATGCCTTTTTTAATTCCCTTTAGACGAGTCCCTGCGCCTCCAGACGGTGGGTGTGCCGCAGTGTGTCGCAGTGTGTGTGTGTGTGTGTGTGGAGGGGCTACGAGCACTTCCACACACACACAGCCAGACTCCCCCCGAAGAACATGTACAGCAGGTTCTTCACCTCGTGGGTCACCTCGAAGCCGAAGCCCTCTCCGATCACAACGTGCCACGAGCTTCCAAACTTCTTATCCATCGACTCTTTGATCATCTTCGCTGCGCTCTGGAGACACGGAGGACAGGTCAACAGATCAATAAACAAGATGAGCGTAATGTGAGGGAATGACAGCAACACAATATGTACCTCCTTAATATGATGACTACTCCTGGCTGCTCCTTCTTAGTTGGACTTTTTAACACTGTATAATACTTTTACACCTAGCTTCGTACTTTTGTTGTTATTTGTCTTCTTTGCCTGCTTCGATATAAATGACATGTAGTATTATTATTATTGCTGTAACATAAATCTGTAACTAACTGCAATAACTACTCTTTACTTATATCACTGTCATCTGGCTGCTACCACTTTACACCCTACATGTGAACCCTAAACTGCAGCTTAGCTTCTCTCCCTCAGTGTTTATACAAACAGCGGGGCGCCAGCCAGGTACCCCAAAAAATAAAATAAATATATTTTTTTTATTAAAATAATAATAAGTGGCTACCCTTTTTAATTTTTAATTGTTATGTGGATTTGTAGTATTTGTGTTACGGCCCCTACACACGGCGGCGTGCGTTGTCGCTTGCCGGCGGGCGTGTCTGAAGCTAGACCAACAACCAATCACCTGAATCTCCCGCCCCGGACACACAAGCAGCGGTTTGATTGGCTAGAGCTTGTACTGGCATATGATTCGATTGGCTGACGCTTCCGTCGAAGCTTCAAAAGTAGAACATTGCTCTACTTTTGCAGCGAGCACCGCGAGAAAAGCTACGCTTTGCTCCCACAATGCAGTTCGGTGAAGCGTGACGTCACCCCATTCAAAGTGAATGGGCAGAAGCGTTGAAGCGTCAACGCAAGCCGCCGTGTGGACGGGCCGTTACTGTATGTTCAATAAAGGTGTATTTTTGCTAAATCTTGAGACATTGCCACTGTATGAACTGGCAGGGCCGATTTTTGGCATAGGCGACATAGGCGGTCGCCTGGGCGCCAGATCTGGGGGGCGCTGCGCTGGTAGCTCTGGGAGGGGAAAAAACATTTTTGACCGTTGGCGCTCATCCTAATTTTTGGCATTGATGTAACAACATTCATAATTAAAGGTGGGGTAGGTAAGTTTGAGAAACTGGCTCGACTTGTTATATTCCATGGAATGCTCTTAACATCCTGATAGCAATGAATATCTGAAGTGCTTTGACAAAAAAAAATCCATAAATAAATCATCATCTGTGGAAGCTGTAGTACTGTAAAAAGCACGACCAATCATCTGAGCCGGCCCGGCTAAAATAACTGGATGGCCTACCTGCCTGTCAGCCTTCCATCTGTGCACAAACTTATCTGGTGCCCTCATTGGTCATGTGCGCGTTCATGTGTGTTGGAGGAAGGGCTCTGTGAGGAAGTGGCAGATTTGTTCCGGCTGTGTATTTTCAAATTCGAGCACACTCGAGCTGGTTTCTTCAAAATTACCTACCCCACCTTTAAGTAAATGTAACACCCTTTTCACCCCGGTTACACTTTTCATTTGCCCTGTGCGATGGGCGCTGTAAGTGATGAAAGTGGGGGATGTTGGCTTATCAGGTGCCCGCAGCTCACAGCCAAAGTGCGAGCGTGGGAGAGAGCGAGCGAGGGAGAGAGAGAGAGAGAGAGGGCGCACCGGTACCGGCGCTGTTGTTATTAGAATCTGGTGCTAGGTGCGCTAACGGATATAAGAAGTAGATGTTTCTACAGCCAGGGTGGAGGAGAGCTGTCCTGTCAGACTGAGAGGCTCAGGGAGGTAAGGGACTCTCTGAGGGTTTAGATAGTTCACTTAGACTAAGTTATCTCAGTGGGTCTCAAACAAATATGTGTTTACAAATGATGTAAACACATATTTCCAAGGCACTCCTTTATAATTATTAGGATGAATAAAAACAGGTTTGAAATCATTCCAGTGTATACTATAGGACAGTAAACCAAAAGTATCCTTTAAAGTTGGAGAGATACAAAAATATGCATAAATAAATAAATGTTAACTAGGTAAAATAAGATATGAATGAACAACAAAAATAAAATAAGTTACATGTATTTGTTATTGGCTATGGGTTATTGGTTATGTTCACATACTTATTGATTATTAAAATGTAAACCGATCTTTTTCATACGGGTGTTTAGAGTTCCCCTAGATCTGAGGCCTGTACTACGAAGCTGGATGTTCGCTTAGCGGCTAACTTCAGGGAAATCTCGGGCTTTCCGGTCCTACGGCGCTGGTTCTCTTTTTAGCGGGCTAGATCTCCATGGTAACTTATGCTGAGCGGCTAACCTGCTCCGGAGGAGGTTAGGTTGCAGGCTAAGAGATCAACTCAGTGAAAGCACCGCCTGCTGACCAATCAGAGCTCAGTGTGCGGAGTTTAAAGCGATCAAGTCATATTACAGGATAGAGGAAATACAGAAAAACTGCCGTTGCAGGAAAGACGGCCGGCAAAAATCAACTGACTGTGTGAACGTGAACATTAATAGAATATCCCCTCCTCCCATCTTCAGAGCAATCTGACTATTATAACATTAGCGTTAAGAAAGCTTACTTAAATATCTGCCACGACATAAGTAACCGGATCAGAGTAACATTACGTACAGTCCGCAGCACTGTGAGTGCAGACGTCGATGTGTCCCATTATCATTCATATCATATCACATCATAATGTATCATATATTTCCTTATCTGAGTCAGCTGAGCCGTATCTGGCCGTGCAACACTCACAGTGTCACATACTGTATGCAGAAGTATTATTTTAAGCAACACATTAAGTTGACGAAACACTGGAGTCAAATGTAATTAAAGTCAGATCGTGTCTTAGACGGGGCAGTGATATCATAAACCTGTTAATGTACGCATTCAAACACTTTCTCTGTTACCAGCTGTATTCACCTTGCAGGTGCAGCTATGTGGCTTTGATCCTGGATAAAGTGTTTAAGTCATGGATGTTTAAAGTTTAACTTCTTCATATTTGACTAATATTAAAGTTCACTTTTCATTCAGGAAGTATGACGCTGCGCTGCCAGTACGCTTGTCCATGTTTGAGATTGGTCGAATGCTCCAAATACCACCTCTTTCATGTGAACGCGCACCTAACTAGATAGGACACGGCTGGCTTGAGCGATCCACTTGATAACCAGCGTCGTAGTACAGCTTAGCGAGAGCGCGTATGTTTTGGCTTAGGCCAACCGGCTAACTCCAACATATCCAGGTTAGGTTGAACCAGCTTCGTAGTACAGGCCTCAGGTCTCTAGTCATTGTGTGCTCAAAGTGCACCAGATTGAAGCATTTTACTTTAAAATGTTCAAACAAATCTTCCCGGGGGGCATACCCCCGGACCCCCCAAGAGGATGTGACGTCCACCCCCCAATTCAAACATGTTCATACAATACTGAATACATTTGAAGCCATTTTGACGTATATTACCTATGTCAATAAGTTTCTGTTTTTGTAGTGTATTTGTCTTTAGTAGAGATTTTTCATTTATTCTTTATATATGAAATCTCGCCTAGGGCAGCAAATAGTCTAGAACCGGCCCTGGCGCTACGTAGGCCTCAAGAGCCTTTCTTGTGCTGGCAGACACATACAAACAAATTGGCGGGGCGCACTTCGCACGCGCACACACTAAAAGATTCCACGCGCTCCGCGCTCACATTGTGCTGGGCCCACGTGCCTTAGCACCGCTGCACCACGTGCCTTAGCAGCTGCTATGACTCCATCCTGGGGGAAACACTGTACCTATATGCGTGCATAATTGTAATTGTGTATTTGTAATATTACGTGCATTCCTTTATCCAATTGTAGCGGCCGGAATCATAAAAAAATGTAACAGAGAATGACCTTAAAAGCATAATAACTACTTTAACTTACTTCAATAACAAAAACAACTAAATCAATAATACATTCACTTTAAGCAAAAACAGCAAGTAAATAAAAGTTAAACTATGAAATAATATTAAGGAACACTTTTTCTCCATCTTTACTTGAGCTTTAACAACGTAGTGTCTCCTCTGTGGGACGAGGAAAGGACGTGTGATTCTGTGGTGGAGATGGAGCTTCTCTCCGTGAAGAGAGGAGAGGACCGCTGACTCAGGCTGGTTCACAGCACTGATCGAACATGAACATATTTTGCAGTGATTTCATCTCAATAAATATATGGAACGGAAGCTGAAAAAATGAGATAATCACACCCATTAGAGAAAAGCCTGAATCGATGCGTCTTCAGGTCGATGGCATGTAACACACTTTTAAAAAGCTGCTTTTCTGGATGGAGTTTGGTTTGATAAGAGCTAGGCTACGCTAACATTGTAGCTGCTCTGTCCAAATGAAATAAGGCAGAGACTGTATCTGTCGCACCACAGACCGCCTATGGACTGAGCGTGAACAGTTGTGTGTGTGCAGATAGGAGGTCCAGTCGAGCCAATCTGAATGTGTGATTAAAGGACGTTACAGAGTTCACACTCACTTCATTGTTGGTGGCAAACTTCTCGCAGGCCGTCACACAGAGCTCCATCGTCTCCACTCGCATTTCCTCTGGCATGTCTGTGTGCTGAGGACAAACAGAGAGGGTCAGGATCATTTACAGGAGAGGGAGACAGACATTTCACACTCAACAGAAAGAGACACATGTGATGCATCCAACAGTAGTTTATAAAGCCTAATGTCAGAACTGTTGAGAGTCAGGTCTTGCTGCCCTCTCTCTCTCTCTGCATGCTGTGCGCTCTCAGCGTTCTAGTTGCAAAAGAACAAATGGAGATGAGCGTTTTAAATAAAGTGGTAGATTTCTAAAGTCAAGAAAAATTTCTGTTGGACATTTTGAGGGTTTTGGTTTTAATGATGAAGTCGATTTCAACATATTGACCCAAGGAAACAAACATGTTGCCCACAGATAAATATCCCTGATCACGTGTTGGTAGACTTCCAGTCAGTGTATTTGTTCGAGTAGATTCAGTTTGTAGAAACAGACCCAGCAAAGCACTAAAATACATAATACAACCTCTCTTAAAAACATACACAGTATCCCTTTACTGTGGCTGAGTATTCATACACTCTGGTACTTCTACTCAGTACAAGACCTGAGTACTTCTACTTCTACTCAAGTACAAGATCTGAGTACTTCTACTTTTACTCAAGAACAAGATCTGAGTACTTCTACTTTTACTCAAGAACAAGATCTGAGTACTTCTACTTTTACTCAAGAACAAGATCTGAGTACTTCTACTTTTACTCAAGAACAAGATCTGAGTACTTCTACTTTTACTCAAGTACAAGATCTGAGTACTTCTACTTTTACTCAAGTACAAGATCTGAGTACTTCTACTTTTACTCAAGTACAAGATCTGAGTACTTCTCCCTCCTCTGCTTGTTGTGTATTCATGTTGTCATGGCATTAGGGTCAGAGTGTGTGTGTGTGTGTGTGTGTGTGTGTGTGTGTGTGTGTGTGTGTGTGTGTTACCCTGATGAGAGGGAAGCTCTGTAGCCTCTTGTAGTCGGCCTCCTCTTTCTTTGCCTCTCCAGTCCCTGCCATTCCGACTCCTGCCAAAAACACACACATTTATACACGTTAAAAACACACACATGTATACACGTTAAAAACACACACATTTATACACGTTAAAACCCAAAAACCGACCCTGCTAGCTTGATTTGAAACCATGAAGCTAACAACAGTGTAACCTTACCCAGCTTTATATCGCTGAGCACAGACAGCAAGCTACAACAAGTATCGTTATTACACACCTTCAAAATATGATTTATATGATAACAGCAAGTAACGGTTTGTTTTTAGCGGTTAGCTGCTGTGGCTAATTAGCATAGCTCGTTTGATAGCACAGTGTTTTCTACCCTCAGAAATCTACTTTTGTTAAAGTACAGTCGTAATATCACGAGTAACACCGTGTTGTTATGGGAGGATAAATGCAGAGGGACATAGAGGAGGATATTTAAATAGATAAGAGTTACTTACGAGGCGTTTCTCCTCCGAAAACTTCTCCTGTTTCTGTTCGGTTGTTAAGGAGACATTAAACACAGGAGGTCCCGCCTATAGCTTCATTCCCATTGGTTCAGGGGCTGTCGCTACGGAAGAAACCCCCGCCTACTACCACCTAGCTTCCTTCCTATTGGTTCAGAGGATGTCAATCAACGGACATAGTCGTTTATCTGTCTACTGTCAGTTGGCCAATTTCATCCCAATAACGTCCCGATCATAAAGTCAAGTTGTACCAAAATCACTTCAAACATCTCCTCACGCTTCTGGTGGTTTGACTACATTAATAACATCTGTATAAAGTTTGAAGGCTTTTGCATCGAGGATATCTTTGTTTTATTGCATTTGCTTAATTTTAGTGAATATTCTACCAGCAACTTTCTTTTTAATTATTGTTTTTTATGGCCAGAACTTTAATTAATTTTGTTGCAAAACATTTTTTTATTCAATATTTTTTTGAAAGTTTTATATAAAAATTATATATTTAATTCTTATTTTTATCACTTAATTTTTTTATTTCAGTAAAACATCTTTTTCATATTAAATATCTTTATTTGTTTATTTTCAAGTTAGTTTTTAAGATTGTGTGTGTGTGTGTGTGTGTGTGTGTGTGTGTGTGTGTGTGTGTGTGTGTGTGTGTTTGTGTGTGTGTGTGTGTGTGTGTGTAAAACCTTATTCTTTCCTTCCTCATCAGCCATCTTTTCAATCTGACCCACATTCAGCTTTAAACCCCTAAACACACACACACACACACACACACACACACACACACACACACACACACACACACACACACACACACACACACACACACACACACACACGTGGGTTACTCATGTTTGTTGAGCTGCATCAGTAATGATGTGTCGCTGATATCTGACCGCTCGTTAAATGTCATCCAGCCTGAAAATCAATTTAGACTCTCTAAATGTTTGCTAATTGTTCCTGTACACATGAACAAACATCTTCAGCAACTTGACAACACATGCATCCTTTAGAAAACATTCAGCAACTTGACTTTTGGAACATTTGTTTTGGAACATTTGTGTTTCTATTTCTGCATCGAAGTGTTCTGGACCGTTGGCAGCTGTCGGCCACCGTAGTTTTGTTGCTTTAACAAAACGGCAACTCGCAAAGCTCCTGCATAAAAAGTGTGTTATTCTCATTATTATTAGTAGTAGTTAAGGCAGTGTGATTGTTACCTGTGGTGATACAACATAACTATAACTTTAATGACATTTCACTGGTTAGGAGAGGAAATCAGACTACAGGAGAGACACATTATATTATGAAATGTTTGCTCAGCTAGCGAGGTTAGACGTCACATCACACTTCAGAAGAAACAGAGCGCAAAGAAATATGTCAGTGTGTGTGTGTGTGTGTGTGTGTGTGTGTGTGTGTGTGTGTGTGTGTGTGTGTGTGTGTGTGTGTGTGTGTGTGTGTGTGTGTGAGGATCATCAGTCATGAATCAACCCTGTCTTGGAGCTGTGAGTAATCTGTTTTGTCTGCATCAGAGAACAGACTTACTGAGGCGTCTGCTCAATACTCACCTCTGCGCACACACACACACACACACACACACACACACACACACACACACACACACACACACACACACACACACACACACACGCAGGCACGCACGCACACACACACACACACACACACACACACACACACACACACACACACACACACACACACACACACACACACACACCGTTTCCACAAGTTTCTCCAATACATTAAGAGTCAAACAGGGATGTTTTTATAACCATTTTATTCTTTATTGTTTTTAAACCACCTATTTCACAACATCATAGAAGATCCATGAAGATGCAAATAAAGACAAGCGCGACATCCAGAAGCAGACAGAAAGAAAGAGAGAGAGAGAAGAACAAGAAGAAGAGGAGGAAGAAGAAGAAGAAGACATAAATAAAACAGTATAGTTATTTCCGGCATGAGAGCAGGCACTTCCACAGAGAGCAGATGTTGGTCTTAAAGACACGGTGTTGACCTGAGGCTTGTTTACTGTTTGAGTCAAAGCCCCTAAATGTCTGTTCTCATCTGTAACGACCTCCAGAGATAAAGCACGGTTTGATTCAGAGCTTCTGAAGTAAACGTGAGGTTTGTGAGAGGTTAAAGCAGACTGGCACAGAGCGACATCACGTTACACAGTAATAAGACCACGGTTTGACCAGATCATGGATGTAGAAAACCTGAACACAGACGATACTCACAGCGAATGAAACCCTTTAGAACCAGGAGAGCTTCAGATTCAGGTTGAGCTGTTTCTCACAGGTCAGATACCTGTGGAACGTTATCTGTGTATTTACAGCTTAAGTACTTTTTATGTAACCGTGAACCAGAAGACAGTTCATGTGAAACCAGATTTATTTGTCACGTACATTTCGTAATATGTTTTATCCCAAACTGTTGACTTATTGTTCACGTGGAGTACTTAAAAAAATAAAAAGAATAACAAAATAAGTCAACTTTTTGGTCATGTAACTTTCAACCCAAACGTCAAGTAACTTCGAATGACATTTCCAACTCAAACCTACGACTAATTGGTCATGTGACTTCCGTACTTAATTAACGCCATTTGATGCATGAGTAGAGGTTTCATAGCTACTTTAACCCAAACGTCATGTAGCTTCAAGTAACATTTCCTGCATAGTTACTCTAACTCAAACGACTAATTGGTCAGGTGACTTCAGTACTTAATTTAACGCCATTTCATTGTTTTTTTAACCGTAACATTGATATATTTATCTTGTAACTTTGGGACATGAGTAAAGCTTCTTTCATAGTTATTTTAACCCAAACAAGGACTCATGGTCACGTGACTTCTGCTGCATTTAAGTCACCTTCGTAGTTTTATCCAATCAAAACGATTCTGAATTATGTGTCGCGTAACTTTCAGTCACTCTTTTTTAAAAGTGTGAAACCAGATTTATTTGTCACGTAAATATCGTAGTATCCCAAACTGTTGACTTATATTTCACGTGCAAAACGTAGGCAGACTCCTTCATAAAAAAAAAAACGTTAACCGTTTTAAATCCAAACGTCACGTAGCTTCGAGTAACATTTCCTCCGTAGTAACTCTAACTCAAACCAACGACTAATTTGTCACGTGACTTCCGTACTTAATTAACGCCATTTCCGTTGTTTTTTTAACCGAAACGTTGATGTATTTATCTCGTAACTTTGGGACAAGAGTAAAGCCTAAACAAGGGCTCATGGTCATGTGACTTCTGGAGTTAAGTCACCTTCGTAGTTTTATCCAATCAAAAGTTTCCGAATTATTTGTCGCGTAACTTTCAGTAACTATTTTTTTAAAGTTTGAAACCAGATTTATTTATCACGTACATTTCGTACGGTTAACTTATTTTTCACATGCAGTACTTAGGTAGACTCCATTAAAAAAACGTAAACTTTTTTGTCACGTAACATCGTTTTTTCAACCCAAACGTCGCGTAGATTCGAGTAACATTTCCAACTCAAACCTAGGTCTAATAGTTCACGTGACTCCTGTTCTTGATTAACGCCATTTCCATTGTTTTTTAACCGAAACGTTGATGTATTTATCTTTGAGTAAAGCTCAAACAAGGACTCATGGTCACGTGACTTCTGGATTTAAGTTACATTTGTAGTTTTTTTCAATCAAAACGTTTCTGAATTATTTGTTGCGTAACTTTCAGTAACACTTTTTTGCCCTGTAATTTCAGGCTTTTTCTGTGGTTATTTTAACTATGAACAATTTGTCAACAAAACGTGCGTACTTGCCACTTCTGTAGGTATTTACAGTAAACATTGGATTATCTGTCAGACCTAAGTAACGATGGAAGTTTATTTTGAAAATGCTTTTCTAAATAATACATAATTATACTTTATGACTTTATATGTGATGAGCGGAGATTGTTATTTCAAAGCAGAACAACGACGGATAACTTTTCACAAGATATCCTACAAGCCGCTGTCTGAGGAGACATTGACCCACCTTGATATATTTCATAAATTAAGATTATTATCAGTCTGAGTTGATCCATGAGATTTTTCTGCCTGAATGCGTGGTTACTTTTATCGACATTTAACCGGAGCAGATAATCGATGTTTCCCCAGGAGTCCGGTTCATGCCAGTGTTTCCTTTCATGCACTCAGGTGACTTTCTGCAGGATTACACGTGGACAGCAACACTACAAACTGTGCATGACTTGTGTTTCAAATAAACATTTGAATAATACAAAATAAAAACTACTAGACCTCTTGTTTCTTACGTCCTGCATTCCTACCAACCCTTAACAGACTGTCACAATTCCTCATCATTTCATAACCCCTAATCGTTGACTTATTGTCTCATTTAAAATAAGTTCTCTATCATTGAAGAGCCATTTTAACTGCTGAGGCTGGTGTGAAGTCGACCTACTAATTTGTGTGTTTGGGTATTCTGTGGAGCATCGTCCTGATTAGATTAAATCCGGGTACACTCACGCCACTATTGGGATAGAGAGCCTATAACAATCCTTTCTCATAACAAATATAGTAAAACAAGGGTTTCATAACAAGTTCTTGTTAGGATTTAACTGAATATATTTGGCTGTCTCATGCACACAAACAGAAGCGACCGGTCCATCTCTCCGTCCAGCAGCAGGCCTCCCAACACTAAATCCCACTTCAAAAGCTATTCATATAATCATGTGTTTCAAGCCACTCTAGTGAGTATTCATTTAGTTCCAAAAAGAGGTTTTGTATACATCTGAGACCCATAATATATGAATGAAAAACAGTATAATAGGGGACCTTTAATGTTGTGAGTGTTACAATCGGATCCACGACACCAACACTAAAAACAAACAGAAACCGGTCCATCTCTCCGTCCATCTCTCCGTCCATCTCTCCGTCCATCTCTCCGTCCATCTCTCCGTCCACCAACACTAACTCCACCCCCCCCTCCCCTCACTGTTTGGGGCCAGAACTCTGGGCGTGGCAGGGGTCCAGAGACTCCTTGGTGGCTCCTCCGTAGACGTCTACGTCCAGGTCGGTCCAGGGCGCGATGTTCCCCAGCGCCGAGGAGCTGCACTCGGACAGAGCGAGGACCTCAGCTGGCTTCAGGACCCGGTCCCACAGGTTGAACTGAGACAGATCCCCCACCAGAGCCTGCGACGCGTCAAAGTGACCCCCCAAGGTGTCCTGGAGGAGGAGGAAACACACACATGGATGCTAGGATTAATCACCAAGACACCAGGGTTACGGACCTAACCATGATCCAAGCTGTTTCATTCTCTAGATGAGCGTTTGATTCTCTAGAGATGATGGAAAGTCGAAGAGTCTTTCTCTCAGGAAGGTTCCTAGGAAAGGCGCTTCAGAGCTTTCTTTGTTGGACCACAGAACACGTCCACTGGACCTTTCTGGACCAAATGAAAGGAGATAATGCTGTCCCACATTTCCTAGCAGACCCAGCATTTACTGACTAACAAATTCTGCTCCTTGTGGGCTGCGAAGGCACTGCAAGTGGGCCGCCAAATAATTAGCAAAACATTATGATTTGTGTGGAAACATTTCATTATTAAGGTTTGCTTTCATTTGAACCTCTTTTCCTTTCTCTTTTTCGATCCTCCTTAGCAGCGGTCATTACAGTCCTTGACAGCGGTCTGTTCTACTGGATTAACAACGTGTCACATCAGAACTTTATTTAGCCTCCGTATCGTTTATGGTTGAATGTGGGCCGCGAACACTTTTTAGATTCTTAAGAGGGCCCTGAGTTGAAAAAGGTTGGGAACCGCTGTTAGATGATGGAAAGTCCAAGAGTCTTATGGCGCATTTCCACTACAGGGCCTCGCTCGGCCTCGCTCGGTATGGCTAGGCCTCGTTAGGCCTTGTTAGGACAGGCTCACTTTATGCTGCGTTTCCATTACAGTTTAGTAGCTGGGGCAGTAACTATAGTAACGCAGTGTAGGCGGAGCCGTGACGTGATCTTCAGAGAACCCCAGAAAAACAACACAGCCGTTAGCTGTTAGCACTCAGAGCTCACAGCTCCTCATATCTGTTCAGAAACTAGACAAAAGTGAAACAAGTACAAACCACAGACTGCCTGTGTCATGGTGAATACAGTCGCTGCTTTATTTATGTCTGTATAGGCCGTTGTTGTGAGTGTGGACGGTCGGAGCAGATACTGCGTTAGCTTAGCCAATCTCCATTTAGAAAACACGCATTTTAAAAGGTGTTTCGCCTGCCGTCTGTCTGCAGACTTGTCAAAGCATTAATTCATGGTTGTTACTAACCGGTATCAGTATGTTGTTACTTCGGCATCATTTTGAAACGTGTATTACAATTAAATCACGGTCAAATATGTTCATCTTGTTGTAGTTGTAGCCCCCTTGCCAGCAATTCTCTCTCTAGTTTAGCATACTCAGCCCGACTCAGCCTCGTTGTTGGCCCGGAAAGAACCTCGATTTTATGAGGCCAGAAAAACTGTGAAATAGTACCCGCTAGCCGGTACTAGGCCAAGTGGAAACGCAACCAAAAACGGGCCGGGCACGGCACGGCACGCTTAAAGCGAGCTCTGCGCTGTGGTGGAAATGCGCCATTAGTCTCAGGAGGGTTCCTAGGAGAGGAGCTTCAGAGCTTTCTTTGTTGGACCAGACAACAAATCCGACCAAATGAGAGGAGATAATGCTGTCCCACAATTCCTAGCAGCTCAGCAATTACAGTGACGCAGGAATAAATAACTCTGTTCCAGCATTATGGGCGAGTTTCCACTAAACCAGGAACTACTTTTCAAGGGAGTAGGGACTACAAGTTTCCTTCAGCCTGTTGTTGTCTACGTTTCCACAGTGGTCCTATGTCCATTAGGGTTTCAGGACAATTTGTTATTAGGGTTTAACTGAATATATTTGGCTGTATTTTGCTTTATATATGAATGTGTTTATGTCATTACATTACATGTCACTTGTTAGACGCTTTTATCCGAAGCGACCTACATACATTCAATAACTGATGGCCGTCCCCACAGGAGCAGTTTGGGGTGAAGTGTCTTTCCCAGGGACACAACAACATGCTGACTGCAGCAGGGATTGAACCAGTGCTCTCCCCTGATCCAGAGATAAACGCATTATCCCACTGAGCCACAGCTTTGTAAAAATGTGACAAACACTGTAAACGATCCCAGAGTAAATCAATCGTTTAGTCCATTAGTACACCTCCAAGATATGCTCCATTAGTACACTTTTTTGCATTTACACTGATAGTATATTGTATTGAAAATAGACTACAACCCTCCTCAGGTGGTGAACTGTAACTACTGCGTTCATCTCTCCTGGTTAGATAGAAATGAGAAAGCAGGGTGAAGATCTGTGCATAATATGATTCTCTTTAGACGAGATGAAAACATGTTTGAGTGAGAGGACTCTTCTCCATAAAATCCAGACATCAGTTCGTCTTCAGATGAGGTTTTTGAAGCACTTGTAAAAAATCTAACCAGGTTGATGCATGGTTTCAGACTCTCTCTCTCTCTGTGAGGCAGAACCAGCTCTGACTCGTTCTTTCACACCGGGGGAAATGTCATGCTTCCTGGTTGTTATGTAACCCTAGTTTCTCACTAATGAGCAGCAGTCAGTCTGTCTTTAAATTGCCCTCCATATTCATCCCTGTATCATCCATCCACACATCTATTATTCATGCATTCATCCATTAAACTGTCCCATCCAGTGATGTCACTCCAGACATCAGGACTGCAATTAGCATCTATTTTGACGATTGATTCAACAGTTCATTATTACTTAGATTAATCAGATTAAAATAAATACTTTCTATTTGAACACAAAAAACAGTCTTCTTGACTTCACGTAACCACCGCTAAGCTAAAGGTGGCTAATGTTGGGCTATAAAGGAAATACAGCACGGTCACATGACTTCACGTCACCACCGCTAAGCTAAAGGTGGCTAATGTTGGGCTATAAAGGAAATACAGCACGGTCACATGACTTCACGTCACCACTGCTAAGCTAAAGGTGGCTAATGTTGGGCTATAAAGGAACTACAGCACGGTCACATGACTTCACGTCACCACCGCTAAGCTAAAGGTGGCTAATGTTGGGCTATAAAGGAAATACAGCACGGTCACATGACTTCACGTCACCACCGCTAAGCTAAAGGAGGCTAATGTTGGGCTATAAAGGAACTACAGCACGGTCACATGACTTCACGTCACCACCGCTAAGCTAAAGGAGGCTAATGTTGGGCTATAAAGGAACTACAGCACGGTCACATGACTTCACGTCACCACCGCTAAGCTAAAGGAGGCTAATGTTGGGCTATAAAGGAACTACATCACGGTCACATGACTTCACGTAACCACCGCTAAGCTAAAGGTGGCTAATGTTGGGCTATAAAGGAACTACAGCACGGTCACATGACTTCACGTCACCACCGCTAAGCTAAAGGTGGCTAATGTTGGGCTATAAAGGAAATACAGCACGGTCACATGACTTCACGTCACCACTGCTAAGCTAAAGGTGGCTAATGTTGGGCTATAAAGGAACTACAGCACGGTCACATGACTTCACGTCACCACCGCTAAGCTAATGGAGGCTAATGTTGGGCTATAAAGGAACTACAGCACGGTCACATGACTTCACGTCACCACTGCTAAGCTAAAGGTGGCTAATGTTGGGCTATAAAGGAACTACAGCACGGTCACATGACTTCACGTAACCACCGCTAAGCTAAAGGAGGCTAATGTTGGGCTATAAAGGAACTACATCACGGTCACATGACTTCACGTCACCACCGCTAAGCTAAAGGAGGCTAATGTTGGGCTATAAAGGAACTACATCACGGTCACATGACTTCACGTCACCACCGCTAAGCTAAAGGAGGCTAATGTTGGGCTATAAAGGAACTACATCACGGTCACATGACTTCACGTAACCACCGCTAAGCTAAAGGTGGCTAATGTTGGGCTATAAAGGAACTACAGCACGGTCACATGACTTCACGTCACCACCGCTAAGCTAAAGGTGGCTAATGTTGGGCTATAAAGGAAATACAGCACGGTCACATGACTTCACGTCACCACTGCTAAGCTAAAGGTGGCTAATGTTGGGCTATAAAGGAACTACAGCACGGTCACATGACTTCACGTCACCACCGCTAAGCTAAAGGTGGCTAATGTTGGGCTATAAAGGAACTACAGCACGGTCACATGACTTCACGTCACCACCGCTAAGCTAATGGAGGCTAATGTTGGGCTATAAAGGAACTACAGCACGGTCACATGACTTCACGTCACCACTGCTAAGCTAAAGGTGGCTAATGTTGGGCTATAAAGGAACTACAGCACGGTCACATGACTTCACGTAACCACCGCTAAGCTAAAGGAGGCTAATGTTGGGCTATAAAGGAACTACATCACGGTCACATGACTTCACGTCACCACCGCTAAGCTAACGGAGGCTAATGTTGGGCTATAAAGGAACTACAGCACGGTCACATGACTTCACGTCACCACTGCTAAGCTAAAGGTGGCTAATGTTGGGCTATAAAGGAACTACAGCACGGTCACATGACTTCACGTCACCACCGCTAAGCTAAAGGAGGCTAATGTTGGGCTATAAAGGAACTACATCACGGTCACATGACTTCACGTAACCACCGCTAAGCTAAAGGAGGCTAATGTTGGGCTATAAAGGAACTACAGCACGGTCACATGACTTCACGTCACCACCGCTAAGCTAAAGGAGGCTAATGTTGGGCTATAAAGGAACTACAGCACAGTCACATGACTTCAGGACTCACCTGCTCCTGGCCCAGGATCAGGACTCCTCCAGGTTTGATTGGATGCCAGGCAGCTAGCCCCTCCCCCCGGCCCTTCATCTTTCCGCCCTGATAGGCCTTCCAGACGCCGTCCCTCAGCGTCCAGCTCACACAGATGTGCTGCCAGGTGTCCTGCGTCAGCGTCAGAGGCAGCTGCGCCACCTGCAGGCCGGAGGAGGAACAGCCGTTACAGATTAATAAAGTATCTATCTATCTATCTATCTATCTATCTATCTATCTATCTATCTATCTATCTATCTATCTATCTATCTATCTATCTATCTATCTATCTATCCATCTATCTATCCATCAAACTGGAGTTATAGCACTTTATTATTTATGTTAAGTATTTTTTTGGTAGGTTATTTCAGTGCATAAACATTAAAACGTAACTGATCTAACTTATTGTTGTTTGCTTTGCATTTCACTTCAATGTAAACTACAAGAAAACCCACTTTTTATTTTATCCTTATTATTATTTTGTTCACATTTTAATGATATCTAGTTAAATAAAATCCACTGCTATATATATATATAACAAATGTTAATGCATTATTTTCTGAAGTCAGTGAGTAATCGTGTTAAATGATCGTGGGCTCAATATTGATGCCAAAATAATCTGGTTACTTTTCAAGTGTGTGTAGTCAGAAAGTGGACACACAGCTAGTGTATCACTCACTCACACACACACACACACACACACACACACACACACACACACACACACACACACACACACCCACACCACACACACACACACACACACACACACACACACAGCACACACACACACACACACACACACCATCCCACACACACACACTACCCACACCCACACACACACACCCACACACACAACACACACCACACACACACCCACACACACACACACACACAACACACACACCCCACACACACACACACACCACACACACACCACACACACAACACACACACACACCACACACACCCACACACACACACACACACCCACACACACACACCACACACACATCACACACACCCACACACACACACACACTACACACACACCACCACACACACACACACACACACACACACACCACACACACACACACCCACACACACACACACCCACACACACACACACACACACACCCCCCCCCACACACACACATGCACCACACACACACACACACACCACACAATCACTCACACACACACACACACCCACACACACACACCACACACACACACACACACACATCACACACACACACACACACACACACACACAACACACCACACACACACACTACACACACACACACACACACACACACCACACACACCACACACACACACACACCCACACACACACACACACACACACCACACACACCCACTCACACACACCCACACACACACCACACACACACACACACACACACACACCACACACACACTCACACACACACACACACACCACACACTCACACACACACACACACTCACACACACCCACACACACACCACACACACACACACACACACACACACACACACACACACACACTCCTCTGTGGCACTATAAGCTGAGCTTCTCCTGCTCTCAGCGCCGTTTAAACTGCAGTTTACCTTTGGATTATGTTGTGTTTCTGTTTTCTATCTTTCTCTGGTTTTTAGGGCACACTTTGTTTTTCTGTAGCAGGGGAAATAAGCTTTTCTCTGTGCCTCATTAAATGGATATTGTTTTATACCTAAGCTTTTTGTATTTTATCTTTGCACGAAAGGGTTTATGAATAAGTAAATAAATAATTATTTGCACACCTTAGGCTAAAGTGCATCCAGAGAAAACAACCTCATACACTTTTAAAAATCATATTAAATAAACAAATCAAACATTAATTGGACGCTGTTATATTTTCATCATTGTACAACATGGTGTAATAATCGCTGGCCGACAAGTGCAAACGCGCTAAAACCGAATCTCTTCACGAGAAACGCTCTGCAGCTTCAGAAACTATGCAAAACCCAAAGGTTCCACATGAAGAAACATCTTCAGCAACTTGACAACACATGCAGCATTTAGAGAACATTCAGCAACTTGAGGAGACATCAGAAGGAGTCATGTGATCACATTGTTAAAATACGTCCAAAACATGTTGGGTGAGTTTCCAACAACAGAGATAACGTAATACGCAAAAACATATTTACCAGAGTATTTTTAAACACGAGTATCTGTACTTCTACTTGAGTAAAGGATGTGTACTCTTGCCCTCTCTGCCCACCTTGTCGTTGATGAGCAGCTCCACAGGGTTGTGGACCCCCTGCAGCAGCACCAGCTCGTTGGGCTGACCCGGCACAGAGTAGGAGAAGGGGGTCCCGATGCCGCCCTCTCGGACCTTCAGCCAGACGCAGGCCGTGAAGGCGTACATCTCAGAGATCTCCTTCCTCACCAGGCCGTACATGTAGTTGGTCCTCATCGGGAAGGAGAGCACGAAGCCCTCCGGGAACGAAGGCTCCGTCAGCGCTGAGGAGGAAAACAGCAAGATGACGTTAAGCATACTGTAAAAACTCAAAATCTTGCCAAGTATGTGTGTCTAATATCTAGTCAGAATATGTCTTTACTAAGAGGTAACAATGCAGTGAGATAGAGGGTCGTGTTTTTAGACAATGCATCTTCCAGACTCTTGAACACATCTTATTTTGTATCTCAAATGAAACAAGTTCTTTAAAGTGGACCTATCATGCTATATTTGAATAATATAGTGTAGGACCATACCTATATAAGGCATATTTATACAAAATACCAAACAGATCATGCATTTTAGCCATGCCTCATTTCTCTCAATTTGAAAAATGTTAGATCTGTTTTAGCAAGGGCAGATTCAGTGAGAACAGCACCACCTACAGGCCTGGCATATGTACTACAGCGTCTCCAGCGCTTTCGAACAGCAATGGCCGTGGTTGTCTCCTCCTGATTGGTGGAGTTGGCCCAATAGCCGTAGCGCCACCGTCCTGACGTCAGGACAGTGTTCAAATCTGGATCAGTTTTTATCAGATCCGTTGCAGCCCCTTTTTTAGAGATTTGGGTATGGAGGAAAATAGAGAGGGTTGTGTTTTCTGACACTTGGTGAGTTCCCTGGAACACCGGGGACACATATTCATGTAGAAAAGACGAACAAAAGTGCATTTTGCATGATAGGTCCCCTTTAAGCTGCTGTGGTTTTTGTAAAATATGGTTAATCTTGTTTTAACAAATACAGAAAGATGACGTTAAGCACACTGTAAAAACTCAAAATCTTGCTAAGTATGTGTGTCTAATATCTACTCAGAATATGTCTTTACTAAAAGGTAACAATGCAGTGAGATAGAGGGTCGTGTTTTTAGACAATGCATCTTCCAGACTCTTGAACACATCTTATTTTGTTTCTCAAATGAAACAAGTTCTTTAAGCTGCTGTGGTTTTTGTCAAATATGGTTAATCTTGTTTTAACAAATACATCTCTTACTGTATTAAAAATCTTATTGGAAAATCACCAACTAACATCAGAAAACTGAAAACCTTTCAGCATTTCAGGCTCATTTCGTAAAACAACATTTACTGATCCGGGTAAGATATAGTTCAAAAATAAGTTCTCCCAGATAATTAAGATCTCCTTTTTCTAAATATCCCGTCTTAGTTCAAGAAATCTAACCAAGCAAATCTTCACTTGTTCTATTGGCAGATCTTTTTACTTATTACAAGTGAAAACACCTTGTTTTCGTCATTATTTTACTTGATTTTGGAGCAGCATTCTTTCCAGTGCACCGGAGAATCAGCAACACTGACGATAAGCAGCACAACAAATTAAAGGGTGTTTCATGTTGTCGTTGCTGTGGACCTTCTTAATCTACCTTCTTTGGGGGCCCCCTTCTGGTCCGGGGCCCCAAGCAGTTGCCTGCCTTGCCTGTCCGGCGGCCCTGGCATCTTGACGCCTTTAAAAGGGCCCGTAAGTGCCACCTATTTGTCAAGGCCTTCAGCCCCTATTTATTTGTTTTGTTTGTCTGACTGTTTTTTTATTTATTTTTGTACTCCTGTTTTTCTGTAAAGTGACCTTGGGTCCCCTGAAAGGAGCTATACAACTGTAAGTTATTATTATTATTATTAAAGTCTAAACGTGAGAGTCTTGGAGGTTTGTTCTTCCACTGTAGTTCTACATCAGATCAACAAGGGAGCCATGCTTTATATTCTGTTTTTAGATAAAAGATCAGACCCTAAGTCTTACGTCTAATTGTATCTGACTCTGCGTGATGTTAGAGTGACATTTGAGAGACATTTGGTCAAAAATATATATATATGTTTCTGAATATTCCAGTAGATTTTACAATGCAAAGTCCGAAAAACGATTATTAAAATATTCCCATTAAGTTTTGCAGCGCCTCAAACAATGACATTTACTTCAGGAGATGCAGACAGTGGGATGAAAACTGTGTGTGTGTGTGTGTGTGTGTGTGTGTGTGTGTGTGTGTGTGTGTGTGTGTGTGTGTGTGTGTGTGTGTGTGTGTGTGTGTGTGTGTGTGTGTGTGTGTGTGTGTGTGTCTAATAACATGCACAAAATATAGATTCAAGCCCGTTCAACAGACAGAGTTAAATTCACAAACTCTCCCAGACTCAATGGGAACTATGGAAGGTTCAGAGGAGAGGAAATGCATTTTGAGTCATACTCAAACTACAGACCAGCTAAAGATGATCAACCATCATTAAAGCATTACAGGTGAAGCTGAAGGTGACTTTAATTCTTGTTATTAATCTAGTGTTTTGCTCCTGTCTCTGTTTGACCTTTCCCGACCCTCTTCACTAATGAATGATTTATTTTAATCTCCAGTTTACTCTGTGCTGCTGAGAGACCCAATTCTCCCACTGAGCTCATTAGCATCTCATCTCCTGCCCAGTTTCCACTGTGGAGACAAAGGAGGGCCATACATAGAAGACATCTTTACAAAAATAAAATAAAATAAATGTTAAAATATAAAGTGGACTACAATAATAAATAGGTAGTAATTAAAAGCTGTGGAAATATAAAAACAAATACAAACAATCAGAAAAATTATATTATATAGTTAATGAGAGAAACCCCGCAGTTAATGGAGAAACCCCCCAGTTAATGGAGAAACCCCCCAGTTAATGGAGAAACCCCTCAGTTAATGGAGAAACCCCCAGTTGATGGAAGAAACCCCCCAGTTAATGGAGAAACCCCTCAGTTAATGGAGAAACCCCCCAGTTAATGGAGAAACCCCTCAGTTAATGGAGAAACCCTCCAGTTAATGGAGAAACCCCCAGTTAATGGAAGAAACCCCCCAGTTAATGGAGAAACCCCTCAGTTAATGGAGAAACCCCCCAGTTAATGGAGTAACCCCCAGTTAATGGAAGAAACCCCCCAGTTAATGGAGAAACCCCTCAGTTAATGGAGAAACCCCCCAGTTAATGGAGAAACACCTCAGTTAAAGGAGAAACACCTCAGTTAATGGAAGAAACCCCCCAGTTAATGGAGAAACCCCTCAGTTAATGGAGAAACACCTCAGTTAATGGGAGAAACCCCCCAGTTAATGGAGAAACCCCTCAGTTAATGGGAGAAACCCCCCAGTTAATGGAGAAACCCCCCAGTTAATGGAGAAACCCCTCAGTTAATGGAGAAACCCTCCAGTTAATGAGAGAAACCCCCCAGTTAATGGAGAAACCCCCAGTTAATGGGAGAAACCCCCCAGTTAATGGAAGAACCCCCCCAGTTAATGAGAAACCCCCAGTTAATGGGAGAAACCCCCCAGTTAATGGAGAAACCCCCCAGTTAATGGGAGAAACCCCCCAGTTAATGGAGAAACCCCCCAGTTAATGGAGAAACCCCTCAGTTAATGGAGAAACCCCCCAGTTAATGGGAGAAACCCCCCAGTTAATGGAGAAACCCCTCAGTTAATGGGAGAAACCCCCAGTTAATGGAGAAACCCCTCAGTTAATGGAGAAACCCCCCAGTTAATGGGAGAAACCCCCCAGTTATTGGAGAAACCCCTCAGTTAATGGGAGAAACCCCCCAGTTAATGGAGAAACCCCCCAGTTAATGAGAAACCCCCAGTTAATGGGAGAAACCCCCCAGTTAATGGAGAAACCCCCCAGTTAATGGGAGAAAACCCCAGTTAATGGAGAAACCCCCCAGTTAATGGAGAAACCCCTCAGTTAATGGAGAAACCCCCCAGTTAATGGGAGAAACCCCCCAGTTAATGGAGAAACCCCTCAGTTAATGGGAGAAACCCCCCAGTTAATGGAGAAACCCCCCAGTTAATGGAGTAACCCCAGTTAATGGGAGAAACCCCCCAGTTAATGGAGAAACCCCTCAGTTAATGGATGAAACCCCCAGTTAATGGAGAAACCCTCCAGTTAATGGAAGAAACCCCCCAGTTAATGGAGAAACCCCCCAGTTAATGGAGGAAACCCCCAGTTAATGGAGAAACCCCTCAGTTAATGGAGAAACCCCCCAGTTAATGGAGAAACCCCCCAGTTAATGAGAAACCCCGCAGTTAATGGAAGAAACCCCCCAGTTAATGGAGAAACCCCCAGTTAATGGAGAAACCCCCCAGTTAATGAGAAACCCCCCAGTTAATGAGAAACCCCCCAGTTAATGGAGAAACCCCCCAGTTAATGAGAAACCCCCCAGTTAATGAGAAACCCCCCAGTTAATGGAGAAACCCCCCAGTTAATGAGAAACCCCCCAGTTAATGAGAAACCCCCCAGTTAATGGAGAAACCCCCAGTTAATGGAAGAAACCCCCCAGTTAACCTGTTACGCACCATCCGCCCGGTACCGGGCGGATAAACGCGTCATTTGCAGGAAACAATGTCTAAGGAATCTTAATATTTAATAAAACTATGAATGTTTTATATCCATGTAACGGGAAGAAACTCAGCGAACTGATCTTTTAAAAAAAAATAAAAAAAAAACCCACAATGCTAGCACTCAGCCTCTGAATTAGCCACGAGCAAAAAAATGTAACCTAAAACGGCACTTAAACTCACAATAACTCCCTTATTACTTATCCTAGATGCACAGCCAACCACTCGTTTTTGGTGTCCTGGAGACACTGAATCTAGTGGTACCCACCTCAACACTCAGTGATAAACATTTGCGACGCTATAAACGAAAGCGTACATCATAACATGTGGAGCTAAGTAGCTAGAAACGCTAACATGGCTTACCTTGGTCAAAACTGGTCTTCAATGGCATTAAAACGATAAAAAAAACGATGCTGCAGTTAATCCATAGGTTCATCCAATGTATCTGTGCCCTCTTTGAAATTATTTCTGATAATCCATAAGCAATAAAACTGCTTTTTTGTTTCCAAATGCCAGAGCTAGAAATAGCTTCACTCTGCTTCACATTTACATGCGCGCAGCCCCCACCTTTTCTCTTCACAGTGTGTGTGTGTGGGCCACCCCCTTCGCCAGAGATATGGAAAAAAAAACATTTTCACCCAAATCACCTCAGAGGTGGGGTGGTTTTGGCTAAACCTCTCTAAAAAGGTCAAATGTCACTTGTTTTGCATCAATCTTGATACATGGTACTTATTATATGTTGTACTTTGGATTCCTAAAGCTTTTAGTCTACTAACCCATCATCCAAGGGTAGTTTTCACTATCTGTAAAAAATTATATTTGGACGGACACTATAATTTACAGATTTTTACTATGTAAAATCTGAATTTTCTTTAAAATAAAAAACATTTATATTGATTCTGACACTTCTACATCCAACTCACAGATGTAACCTTGCTTTGATAAAAGAAATTATTCATATAACCCTTTTAGAAGTTAAGTTGTAGTCATTTGTTTTGGGCATGTCATTTTCGAGCCTGAAACATGAAAAACAGGCTTGGTGCTTAACAGGTTAATGGAGAAACCCCCCAGTTAACCTGTTAAGCCCTGAGCCTGTTTTTCAGGTCTCAGGCTCGAAAATGACATTCCCAGAACAAATGACCATATCTTCCCTTCTAAAAGGGTTAAATTAATAATCTTTTTTCTCAAAGTAATGATAAACCTGTGAGTTGGATGTAGAAAAGTCAGAATCAATATAGATGTTTTTTATTTTAAAGAAAATTCAGATTTTACATAGTAAAAAACTGTAAATTAAAAAAAAATTCTTTTTTACTTATAGTGAAAACTACCCTTGGATGATGGGTTAGTAGACTAAAAGCTTTAGGAATCCAAAGTACAACATATAATAAGTACCCTGTATCAAGATTGATGCAAAACAAGTGACATTTGACCTTTTTAGAGAGATTTAGCAAAAAGAAACCACTTCTGGGGTCATTTGGGTGGATTTTTCATATCTCTGGCCCCCCTTGCTCAATTTTGATGGTTGACACCTCTTTCTGACCGTTAGAGCCAATAGAATCGAAGGGGGAGTCCCCCACACACACATTGTGAAGAGAAAAGGTGGGGGCTTCGCGCATGTAATTTTGCATCAGAGTGGACCTATCTCTAGCTTTGACATCTGGAAACGGAAAAGCAGTTGTAATGCTTATGGATTATCAGAAATCATTTCAAAGGGACACAGACACATTAGATTAACCTGTGGATTAACTTCAGCAGCGTTTTTATCATTTTAATGCCATTGAAGACCACTTTGGAGAGACTACAGAGCCAAGGTAAAAATACGTATAATTCAGTGGTAATGTCGGTGTCGTTAGATTCTGTGTCACCTCACGATGAGAAACGATGTGTTGGATGTGGTGAAAAGATAAATAATAAGGTTTTGTGAGTGATTTTCGGTGCAGTAAGGTGTTAACTAATTCAGAGGCTCAGTGTTAGCATTGTGGGTTTTCTTTTGAAAAAAAAATAAAAATGATCAGTTAGATGAGTTTCTTCCCGTTACATGGATATAAAACATTCATAGTTTTATTAAATGAACATGCCCTCAGACACTGTTTCCTGCAAGATGTTGCGGCAGTGCCCTGGTACCGGGGTCTCTCGGGCTTAACAGGTTAATGGAGAAACCCCCAGTTAATGGAAGAAACCCCCCAGTTAAAGGTAGGGTAGGTAAGTTTGAGAAACCGGCTCGAGATACACTTATTGTTATATTCCATGGAATGCTCTTAACATCCCGATAGCAATGAATATCTGAAGTGCTTTGACAAAAAATCCATAAATAAATATCATCTGTGGAAGCCGTGGTACTGTAAAAAGCACGACCAATCATTTTAGCCGGCCCGGCTAAAATAACTGGATGGCCTACCTGCCTGTCAGCCTTCCATCTGTGCACAAACTTATCTCGTGCCCTCATTGGTCATGTGCGCGTTCGTGTGTGTTGGAGGAGGGGCTCTGTAAGGTAGTGGCAGATTTTCTCTGTGTATTTTCAAATGCTAGCGTACTTGAGCTGGTTTCTCCAAACTTACCTACCCCATCTTTAATGAAGAAACCCCCCAGTTAATGGAGAAACCCCCCAGTTAATGGAGAAACCCCCAGTTAATGGAGAAACCCCCCAGTTAATGGAGAAACCCCCCAGTTAATGAGAAACCCCCAGTTAATGGAGAAACCCCCCAGTTAATGGAGAAACCCCCCAGTTAATGAGAAACCCCCAGTTAATGGAGAAACCCCCCAGTTAATGGAGAAACCCCCCAGTTAATGAGAAACCCCCAGTTAATGGAGAAACCCCCCAGTTAATGGAGAAACCCCCAGTTAATGGAGAAACCCCCCAGTTAATGGAGAAACCCCCCAGTTAATGAGAAACCCCCAGTTAATGGAGAAACCCCCCAGTTAATGAGAAACCCCCAGTTAATGGAGAAACCCCCCAGTTATATTCAAACTAATATTTCATATTCCATTCCTCTCATACTTATGTATATATAATATCGTGCTTTATATTTTGTCACTGTAAATTAACCCCCCATGCAGTTAATAAGAGAAACGCCCAGTTAATGGAAGACACTTTACTGTATACAGTTAATGGGAGACTGTAGCAGCGCGTCGTGAACACTGCTGAGAGGATCATCGGTGCCTCACTCCCATCACTCCTGGACATTTATAACACAACCGCCTCACCCGCAGAGCACTCAGCATGGTGGGTGACCCCACCCATCCCTCCACCTGCCTCTTCACCCTCCTGCCTTCAGGGAGGAGGTTTCGCAGCCGGAGGTCGAGCACCACCCGACTGAAAAACAGCTCCGTCCACCAGGCTGTCAGGAGGCTGAACTCTCTCCCCTCCCTCCCCTCCCTCCCCTCTCTCCCCTCTCTCTCCCCTCTCTCTCCCCTCTCTCTCTCCTCTCCCCCCTCTCCCCCCTCTCCCCCACTGGACTATAACTCCCCCCACACTCAGACACTCAAATCGAGCACAAGACACATTTTTTACGCTGCTATGGACAATCTGCAATAAATGCACATTTTATGGACAATCTGCTCCAAAGTTATTGATATTGAAGTGACTGCTATTTTGTATTTATTGATTGTTGTGTTTTTTTTATCTTAATGTGTGCATATGTGGAAATGTGTCTGTTGAATATGTATATGGGATATACATATTTGTATACCTATCTGTATACTGTATAATTGTATATTCGGGATTGTTGGAAAGGTCATTTCGATCTCTCTGTCTGTAAACACAAACTGAGTAAGATTGACATTAAAGTTGTCTTTGACTTTTGATATAGAGTTAATGGGACCCTCACTTGTCTCCAGCTCCTGCACCCTGGCGTCGGCCGTGTCGATGCCCTGGTTCAGTTTCTCCTGCTGGCCCTCGGTCTCCGTCCTCATGGTCTGACGCTCCTTCTCCAGCAGCTTGATCTTCCTCTCCAGCTCCCCCTCCAGGTCCTCCACCCTCCAGGGAGCCTTCCCCCTGGGGGAGCCTTTAGCTGGGGGGGGTCGGGGTCCGGGGGAGGCGGGACGGCGAGGAAGAGGAGCAGGAGAGGAGGAAGAGGAAGCTCTGCTGGGGGGTGGGGCGGGGGGTCTGGGGGGGTTTACACCTGGATTGTTACTGCCTGGAGACGAGTCGGAGAGGTTTAGAGCCGCAGGGCCG